CTGGGAATGGGGAAGAAAGGGGGAGAAGAGTTCGATTTGCAGGAGGTGGGGCCCACTCTTTTATTTTTATTTTGGATCCGAATCATACTGCCATGTCATCTTTTTTTTACAGGTGTGCATGAGGTGTCATTCTATTTTGACACATCATTATGCTTCAGTTAATTAACAGGACACGTCATTGGATTTTTAACGGAAAGACTAAATTGAGGTAAAAATGATAAACAGTAAGGACTAAATTAGAGATTTTTTGAGTTGAGGGACTAAGTCGAGGGTCCGTACAATAGTTAAAGGACCAAAATAAGGGTTTAACCAAAATTAAATCTACTTATTACTGCACAAATCAAATCGGTCTATCTCTGACTTACGTTCAACTCTCGATATATATTATTAAAAGTTATTGTACAAAATCTCCTATAGATCTCAATTATGCTCTATATATCAATTTTATTGGTGATCAAGCATTAAAAAGTATTCAAAATAATAATATATACTTTTCATGAAACAGCAATCATAAAAGTATAAAAATCACAAAACTCTTATGTCAAATTGATTAAACTACAAAGATGTCTGGTATTTTGTGTATCTTGTTTGATGCATGAAGACCTTAATGACCAAAAATCAAACCTCCAAGAGAGAATGAAACGGTTTCGGTCATGAATTATCCTTGTTTTCAACATAGATGCAAAAGAAGAGGAAAATGAAAAATAAAACAATGAGAAAATAAAGTTGGTTAAGATATAGTTAGTGAAAACAAAGACCCCACTCATGAAATAGCAATTAAATCCTATGTAACAACGTTATGGATCATATGTTTAATTCCAAAAGAAAAGGAAAATTAAAAATAAAACAATAAGAAAATAACCATATATTATGTGTATATTTCCTAAAATTCGGCCAAGTAGTTTGACTCCGGCCGGATCCGTGCCTAATTTCCAGATTCCGGTCACCTCAAAAAAAATTTAAAAAAGGAACTCTAAAATTATAACCATATATTATGTATATATTGATTTAAATTTTTTAACTACATTTTTACATGGGAGCTAAAATTGATGTCATCGCGCTTCTTAGGCCTTGACTCTGTTTCCTACCAAAAAGCAAACCAGGCTCCAGTCACAGCCACCAGGAATATTATTAAAG